TCTTCCTTTGTTTCTATATTTAAACATTAATTACACTTAGAATTAGGTTAGTGAAAGCTGCACACAAAGCACTCTCATTTAAAAGAATTTATCTCTGGGCCAAACTTCTGCAAGAGATAAGATGGTCCATATTTGAGACAGCGAATATGACAAAAGAGTTTTTGAATGAAGCAGGACTGACAGAAAAATAATACATGAGTGGATGTGTCCATCTAATATTTTGACAGACCCTACCCAAAAGTTTCCAGCCTCACCTGGCAGCTCCTAAGGCATCCACACATTCCTCTTCATGCCTGCAACTTCCCTCATTTAAATATTGGACATTTTATTTTCTAATTCCAGTAAAGAACCTGGAAATATGCCGAACAACTCTTTTGTCCTTTGACAGGTCCACACAACCAGAAGGTGAATTTATCAGCAGGGTCAGATCCCTCAACAAATGTTACAGTATCGGTACTTCAAAAAAGTGCAAACTGAGGAAAAAAAAATACTCTATCTGCTTACCCCTTATATTAGAGCCCCCACAGTGGAACTGGGAGTCCTGAATTTGGTGCCCTCCGTAGCTCAAACCACATATCTTATGTTCCCAAAGAATGGCATTACCTCCAATCAGGCTCACTCAGCTCACTCGAAGGAAAACAAGAGGTAGCATGTAGCTCTCTAGTGGTTACTTAGGTGGAAGAAATGTCTTATATCTGGTTTCTGTACTCTGCACTGAGGCTACTTTCTGTTTTTAAATTGAATACAAATGCCCTCTATTTCTGTGTTATGAATGCTGTTTTCTACACAATATAAAATCCTCAATAGAAAAGACAAATGTAAACCCATACTAAACACTGTAACATCATGATGAAGGTATTTCTACAGAAATACTGAATACTTCAGAGATGTCCTATGTAACCATTGGGACTATTCTCTAGTCTTACCTCGACAGAGTCCCAAAACATTAGGAATGTAGTTTCTTGTTTCTCATAGTGATACCCATTCCCAAACTCCGGGCACGTGTGGCACAGGCTGCATCACAGCCCTGGTGCAGCAGTGCTCCTGCTCAGCAAGACAGCTGAGAAAGGCAGACCTACCCAAGAAGGGTGACCTAACCATCAGCTTTAAGGGCTCCTTCATTCAGCTGGATTTTGGAACAGCTGCTCCTCTGCAAGGAGAAATCAAAATTCATTTTCTCCTTGTGAATAGAAAGACATTCCCTCAGACTTCTAATTTAGTGAAAATTCACAGACAAGTAGGAGCAGCAATTCTGCATCTTGTATGATATTTTAATTTATCTATATAATAGGCATCAGATTAATAAATTCAGCTTCTGAGTGACTTTTTTAAAATTAAAATAAATTATCATGATTTTTCATGATAATGTCAAAAAATACTCAATTACTTATCTACCTAAAGTGTTTTCTGGTTCTGTAACAAATTCCCTCTGCATGTAAGCATTCATCATTAGCCATATTTTTAAGTTAATTCTTATTTTTTCCAGGATTTAAAACTAAACTCAAACTTTATGTTTTGCATTTTGAGAAATATTAAACTATACTTAGATTCAAAAGTGCTCTTCATTTAATTAGAATATTTTATTGCATTATCAATTTAAAAAAACCTTAGTGATCAAAATTTCACGAATTTATGTATTGTGAAAGAGTTTTTAATTTTAGGGTAGAAATTTTGTGCCACAGTAGTCTCTTCTCTAGAAAGGAGTGCTTGTAAGGGAGTATCAGTACATTTTTTTCTCAAAAGGACCATTTCAACCCTTGACACACTAAACATGGGCTGTGATACAATGGTCATCAAACCAATTCATTCTCCCTATGACAGAAATAGCAAAAAGGCAGTGATGCTGAACTGATGCCTGCCTGCCATATCTGCCAGCAAACACTGTATGTTTGCACAGGTTTGTTTGTTTTCCAAGGGCTAGCAATGTGTAGGAGGATAAGGATTAGTCTTTATCAGTTTTTTGACTCATACACTTGACAACATCCTTTTGGGGATTGATATGCCTCTCTCCTCATATGTAGCTACTGCAGCACAAATGCTTCTGGTACTGCAAGCTGATACTCAGGTGCACGTGCTTGGGTAAGGCACCCATCACCATGGTATCAGGTTCCACAGCAAAATGGAAAAATAGCAAAGTTACTGGGTTTTTTTACAGAAGACAGGATAAATGGAATACAAGTATGTGCACAGCCAGGAATCACACTGTAAAACTCATAATCCTGTGTGCAGTAAAAGAATAAGATTTGTGTTGTTTTAAACACTGTTAACATTCTTAGCTCTTGGACTTACTGTCCAGAATGATGAAACTCCAACCATCAGTCAAGATAATGGGAGCAGAAGTGTCTTCAAACCAGACTTTCAAGAGAAAGAGGGGTGGATTTGGCACCCACACACATCACACTGAAAAGATGTAATCTGAAATCCCAGCTTGTAACCCTGCCGCTCAATTGGTCCTCAGAGCCTTGTTTCCCATGCCCTGCCTTGACCTCTATTTTTCTTGCTGCTGACTTGGGAGTTTTCATTTGTGCCACATCCCAGAAATAAATGCAACAAGCCTACTCATAGCCTGTCAGAGTCATCTGTTTATATTCCTCCTGAAGTCTGCCTGGAGAGCAGAATGCTCATTAAACAATTTTTCACACACTGATGATCTTTTTATTCTTGTACTTTTTCTTTTCTTTAACAATAGCTTTCTGAAAAAGAGATGGGTTTGAAAGTTAGTGCAACTGGTGAATAATACGAGTAAGTCAATAGGAAAGTAAAGATTTTTTTCAAATGCAGATTATTGATTTTTGGAATTGTAGGGGCTCCTTCAAAGTCATTAAGGGTTTGTCATGTCAATATGTTAGTAAGGACTTCTATAAATGAAGATTAATGATGCTAGGGATAATTAGTGCTGAAAAAACTCACATGTTTCTCAGTATTTGGAAACTCCATGCAAAGGTGAACAGCATCAAGTTCTCCTTCAATGTACCTTGGCTCCATTTTTGCCATGAGAGTAGGGGGAAGATTTTCTATGACACAATGGGAATTCAAACTCCCAGTACCTTTGGAAATCAATGGCAATTGAGCTGCATAACTCTGAGTTTTGCTTTTTTTAAAAATCCCCAGTATAGTGAATGCAGCTGATTTACTGAATCCACAAACCAAAATATTTCTGAATATTTTTTATTTCCAAAAGTAATTGAACAGGTAAAGTAGCTGCTTTTCCAATTTTTTTTTCCAAATTAAATACTCAAGTCATGCTTCTCATTATTATTTTTTCATTGTTATATATTTTGTTAAAGCCATGAAAATATGCAAATTAAAGAAAAAGCAGCTTTTTGTTAGCTTGCACGAATATAAAGAAGACTCTACAGATAATAATCTCATTTTTAAGGGGGACCATGCACTTTTTTATCTAAAAAAAATAAATTTAATCTTCCTTAAGTTCTCTCTGCTCTAAGGCTGAGGTTTAAACAACAAACACTGTCCAGATATTCAATGTATAGTTCTGCTGGGGTTTCCCTAGCACAGCTAAGCTACAATTAGTGGTGGATGTTGTTTTTCTCAATTATGAAGCACCAAATCGCAAAATAGTCCTTATGGTTATAATTTGTGTCTATGAAATACATGGTGATAGGTTTTACTCATCAGCTTTCCAAAAAGTACAGCAAGCATACTTTGGTAAAGTTTGAATTCCACAGAGGTAAACACAGCTTGACCAGCCCTTGCTCATGGAATCAAAATGGTCTGGATATTGGCTTTTTGGATGTTTAAAGAGAAATAATCAAAGCAAAAGAATTCTGAATGCAGGCTGTATGCAGGATATATCTTGGCTCTTTTCCAATAGGCAACTAAATTGGGAAGCCACAGCAGAAATCTGAATTCTGGTTTGGGGGGGAACAAGGCTGAGGAAAGGGTATCAGCACAGTTCTTGTCTGGCATGAAGCCCAGCTGGTGGCCTGCTGGACCACATCAGACTCTGTTTTGTCCGCAGTCAAATTGCAACCTGTATAAGACTTTGCATAAGTGTCTCTGCATCCTGAAGTCCTTAATCAGCGGGTCATTTTGAAGTAAGGTATCTTCACACAACAGGAAAATATCAAGCAGCTTGATGGACAAAAATACCTGCTCATAAAATCCTATCACTAGAGTGAACATCGTAAAATGTACATAGAACCAGAGAAATTAACTAACTGGGTTTTTTTTGAATCCTTCCTTTGGGTTTAACTCCTTAGCTTGTGGTAATGTTTGTGTCCCACTCTTGCTTTATCCACGTCGTTAGAGTTAATTCTGACGTTGTATAAGCAGATAAACAGCCAACAAATACTATATGACGATGAGAAATGGAGTTCAAAATCCTGTTATACTGCTGATCAAAAGTCCTATTAGCCTCTAAGAAGGCATTTGTTTGTAAATCTGGAGAGCTTGTTCCTTGTGTTAGGGTTAACAGAAACACACATGCAAAAGAATGTGCATTTTTTAATATTTTGTGATATTAAATAATCCATCACAGCTTATGCTGGTATGTATACATACATATTAAGGGCTGGAATGACCAAGAGGAAACAAATCTCACATTGCCACCAAAAGTTCCTGCTCAGGTGTTAGGAGCAAAGCATAGAAACCAGACAATACTGCAAAGTGGCAGTCTTTTTTTGATGATGAAACAGTCTCATTCAATACACATTATCCATGAAGTTAATCTTGGTAGAAAACTGCACACAGAAGCATCATATAAGCTACTAAAAATTGTTTCTTTCTAGGGTTCATTCCAGGAATCCATTTGCATCATATACATCTGCTGATAACTATTTTTGTGAGACAAAATGTACTCACTATTTTTTTTTTACTCTTTTTTTAGCATTTAGTGAAATGCTAATTCACTGATTAGTGAACCAGTGTCAGGAGACACAAATACACATGAGGAGAAAAGGTCACATAGATCAGACCCTTCTGAATTTGTTGATGGAGGCCACAGACACAACAGTACGATAGAACAGAACAGAATTTCTTACCTTTATGATGATTTGCCCCAGATGCTAATTTTCCCCACAGTGTTACAATAAATATTATTATTAGCAGTTTTCCTTTTGTTGCTTTCTGTAAGTATCTCTTATTCATCCTGAAAAGAAAAATACACAAAATTAAATGTTTAAGATTTCTTAAAAATACATATTTTTCTTAATTTAAGGGGAATTGACTAAGTTTTTATAAGTGTCCAGCTCACAATCTTAAAGTCTTAAATTCTGCTTAACTCTAAATGAGGTACATAAAGTAGCAAGATAACCTCCCACCCTGGTCTGATAGCACTCCTCCACCCTAGTCAGTACCAGGAGAATTCAGCAGCACCATCATTTCTCTCAGGGCACAAAGAGTGTTCATAACCACAGCAGACTCCAAAGGCAGAAGGATGAACCTGTGCATCCCTGAGCAGATTTTGACAAACTGAGCAGTTCCACTACTGTGTCTGCAGGCAGTCATGGTTGTGCAGTTGTCTCTGACCATACAGTGGTGTTTTTAATTTTTGGGATTGCAGCTCTTTTTGGATTTTGCCCACGAGTCCTAAGGCAATAACAGATTTGAATAAACCTTCAGTTTGTATCCCAGTCCTCCTGCAGAGAAATCCTGTTAGGAAGATTTGAGGGGTTTGGAAACATGAAGTAGAGCAGGGCAGATTCAGTACCCTCTCTCCTCACTACCTTTGGGTAATGAAAAGATCTGATTTACTGCACCAAGGGAAATTGCACAGAGCTCCCCTCATCTCACTCAGTGATGTTTTCACTGTGACAGCAAGCCATCAGAGTGGTTCAAGCACAAGATAACACATGACTTATTTCTCACTAACCTCCTCCAAAGTAAAAATACCCCTCCACCTGCCAAAAAGACAAGTTCAAGCATGTAGGTTCCAGTGCTCAAGGATGACAGTTGTGCAGAGTGGCTAGGGGTACAATAATGAGTCCTTCTCTCACTTCCTCCTGTGGAAGAAGCCTAGGGACAGGAACAGCTCCATACAATGCTCATGTTTCTGCTGATAAATCAACAGAACAATGATAACTATTTCAAACCATTTATACAAAAAGCTGAAAATTTGATCACTTGAACATAGTTGTTGCTGTATTGTAATGTCTGGAACTAGGTTGTTTTTATGAGCAGAAAAAAATGCATTACTTGATTATGGTTGCATATTTTTCTCCTATTGTGTTCATAAAAAAAACAAAGGAATACAAGTGAACCTCTTCTCCTCTGCTTGTGTTACAATGCTATCCTGGGCAACCATAACTCTGAAATGTAGACTGCTTTAATACAGATTTAACCAGTAATATGTTGAAAATCCTAAATAATTTTCCACTTCTTCAAAACAATTCCTCTTCTTTCAATTATATTTCTTTCAAATATAACACCACACGCTGATAAGGTAACACACGCCCCACAACTCCACTTATGGCTTCCAGACTTGAAACCAGACCACTGCCCCCAGAATGGCCAATTTTGCTCTCCAGGCTGTGTGTAAGAAAACATGACTGAAACTAACAACCCACTGAAGAGTGCACCAAACCTTTTCAAACATGAATTCAGAGCAAGCAGCGCTCAGCATTCTTTTACAGGAGTCACACATTTATTATGTGTTTCCCAGAGGTTTAGATATCACGTTTATCAAGCAAAAGGAGAGAGGAGTAAGAAAATGCTGTAGCCAGGATAGTGTGTGTGCCCCTGAAAGCCTGACTGATTAATAATCACAGCAGAGATCACAGTGTTCTGTGAACCACTCTAAGGTCTGCCTTCTTGCACTGCTTCCAGTGCCTTTGGAGTGCAAACTGCATATTCATCATCAGCTCCAGGTTTATGAACCACCCAAAGCTAAAGGGAAATACATTATTTGTCACTGTAAATAAGAAGAAAAAAATGAGACTAGAATGCACATTCAGCATATGCTCTTTCACAGCTATGTCTGTGAAAAGAATATGAATTAACTCTTTCACTCTGGATTCTCATACTGCACCTGTTATGCTGCTGGTCCCAAGTCATCTCTCATTAAAATCAAATCTTTCTTCCTCACCTACATAACATTGCTCAAAACCCAGTGGGACTTGCACCATTAAAGCAAGGTTGAATCTAATACAGTTTCTTCCTGTATTCTGCTGATGCCAGATTCCCTCACTGTGCTGTGAGACTGGCAGCAAATGCACATCAGAAAATGCAAATGCATCAGGAAAAACAGTAGTGGGAAAGAGAAAAAACCAACCTCTCTGCCTGAGAACAGCAGCCCTCAGGATGCATGGCAGAGTGAAGATGCAAACCCCTGCACACAGCTGAGCACACCAAAAAGGAGTAAGCTAGCACTCAGTGAGACTGTTTTCTGCAGAGTCAGGGAAGGGTTTGACACAGAAAATCTGGGCTTATTGCCATTGCTAGATTTCCCAGTCATGAGAAAAACTATTCACCACTTTCTGCACCACAAGCCTATTACATTTTTCTGCATTAGGTATTAGTGGTATTCACCTTTAGAAGGACAAAAATCTGAACGGTGTCGAATAATAGTCTCATAATAAACATAATTAACAGAAAAATCAGTGCAAGGAGCAGTTTGGGACTAATAGCTCAGAGGCCACCAGAAGAACTACAGAAAAAACCCTGATCAGTTAAAGCATTCATAACATTCAGCTGTTCTAATAGAAAAATCTGGAAGATGATGTTAACCTTCAAAGCAATTACGCTACACAACCCTAGACCCAGGTCTGTGATGGTGTGCACTGTCACCCTCAGTGGTCAGTCCAAGGACAGACAAGAGGCTGCAAGAGCACAAAGACGTGAAGCTCTCTGCTCCAAGCAGTTCTGCTACACACAAGGACCACATTGTACCAACACAGCCCTAGAAACAAAAAATGAAGGGTTTGTAGTCCAAGAAGCTGAGAGGTTAGGATGGATGCACATCATTGACAAAGTGAGTCAGGAGCTAGAAAAGAAGGAGAGGACAGAGATGCCATGAGATATGCTCAGTATCTCACTGCATGCATTATCACCTGGGCTCTGAAACCCTGATGCTGGTTATTTTGTTATGGATTTGCAAAACAGCCCATGATAGGGCACTGAGAAGACACTGGGACTCGGTAGCATTTGACCTCAGCTGTGAAATAACTATTAGCCTCCTGCAACCCTGATCTATGTCAGGTAAGTGCATCCAGGAAATAAAATTGAGTCCATTTCAGTGCTGTTATTACACTAACATAACTGGCTGTGATAAGTAGGAAAAATAAGCTCTGAAATGATGTCTGCTTTTACTAGAGGTGATGCAGAGCTCCACAGACAAATTGTAGATATTAACCTGAATAGTTTTCTTTTTGAGACATTTATTATTTTATTTACTTTCTTTTCTTCAAAACCTCTCCCTCACTGTGATCCATCCAGCCTTCAATAATGCCACATAAGCCAAAGCTGATCAAAACAGAGAATAGCCATGCTATAGGAAACACCTACATGTGAAAATCAATTTTACACATGAGCTTTATGTGTAACAAAGAATTTCCTTCAGTTTCTAACCTAACATACTGGAAATAAACCCAAGGAATTCTCTGCATTTTCACACAAAAGAGGACATGAATGTCTGCCGCGTTTGAGTATATTTTTCAATGTGCTTTGAAGCAAGAAAAAAGAAAGATGGCTCCTTTTTTGGTTCAGGAACACATTCAAAATATAACAAAAAGATGTCACCCACATAATTCAAACAGGCAGTGGCTGAGTGTGAGATGGCTCTGTTGTGCCTGGCTCTTCACTGACACCATAACACAAGGATTCATTCATAGGATTTGTTACTTTTGCTCCCTAAGATTTCTTTTGCTTGAAGCACACTCCATGAGACCAACATCAGCCTGGTATCATGAACTCAAGAATAGACTGTTCTGGTGATTAGTGACAAAAAACTGCAGGACTTTTTTTTCTCAAGGAGAAACCATATCTGAAGCTGCAGAGGAGTTTCACAAGCTGCCACATCAGCAGAAATCCCTCCCCCTGCCCTCTGTGGCTCAACAACAGCAAACTGTGAATATACTCCAGTGTTGCACAGGCTCTCCTTGTCTCTGCTGCACCTCACTGTCAGCCCGCTTTCAACAGCAGATGGGGTCCAACCATTCAGCTGCACTGAAAATGCCATGCACAGATGTGTATTTTCAATGTAGCATCCATAAGCTTTCGTGTTTCTACTTTCTTCTTTCTTTGTTTCTGGACTTGAGATCAGCCACCTTGCCAACAGCTCAGAATTAAAGGAGAATCACATGGGAATTACCTTATATTGTATGACCAGTGCTAAACTGACTTGCTTTCTGATTTTAGGTGAAGTACAAACTCATGTTATTTTTGTTGTTGAGGAGTAAAAACTGAAAGGAAAAAATAGCTTTTACTCTTCCTTTAAAAGCTTATACACAAATAAAATGTTCATGTTTCCTACCGAGTAACAGCATTCTTCTCTGTTGCTCCTTATTTTTCTTTTCTTTACATAAAACAGATTCTCTGAAGTTGTTCAAAATTCATTTGTTCCTGTTTTACATATGTGGGAAGTTTCACTGTCAGCAAGGCCCATTTGCCTTTTGCAAATACACAGACCCTGTGAATGCAAGTGTTCACAAAGAGAGACATAAGCCTATTTCTCTACTGAATCATGACAAAATGCTTGAGACAAAAATCTGATAGAAAATTAGTCCCACGTCCTCTTAGTTTTCTTTTTATGACAAATATTGTATTTGCTACTTCAGAAAAAGCCTAAATGAGTAATAGAAATCACTTGAGACCCCAAGTCTCTTGTACAGAAATAATGCAGCCATTTAAATTATCTTCTCTACTATGTTGAATCGTACATTATTTATGAGTTGTGTTAGTTGCTACCTCCCACACAATGCAGGTATTTACAGTTTTATACAGCCTTTCCCATGTAGACAAATGCAGATTTAAAAATGCCCCCCTGGTGACTAAGGTCACTTTGTAAAAATTACACCAGTGTGACCCCTATGCATTTACATATATATAAATTCCCTCTATGACATTCCTGTCATGTTTGCTCAGGGAACAAGTAATTTGCCACTTCCATTACTTCAGGTACAAGGTAGCTCGTGAAAATCAATCTTCCTTCT